GTTTAAACCTTGATCTGGATGATTAAAAAATATCCGCAGCTTTTCGTAGGTTACACATACTGACAGAAAGTAGACGTGTCCAAAATCCATTTAAACTGCAGTAGAAAATGAATCAAAGCTCCTTGTGTTTAAATTATAACCTGCTTTTTTCATGTTTGTTTTTGTTACCAAATCGTATTCCGCATCTAATAGCGGCCGCCGTAGAATAAAATAGAAGCCCTAAAACATTTTATTGACAGCGTAATTTCCTGTATACCGACAACCTCCTTGGTAGAATTGCCGGCCACAACTTGGCACGCGTGTAGCGAAAGTTGTACCGACTTCTTTGATCTGAAACCCGAACCGCCCCTTTCGGCGGTTGCGTCGGAGTAAATCAATCAATTTTGACAGGACTGGCCATGGGGCGCCGTGATGTCCTGGGAGAAATGTTCTACTACGACATGTACGAGATGTGTGTGAATTTTGACTTTCAATGTCAGGATTACTACTCCATTCCTACAAGAACTCATTTTTGAAAACCACTGTTTTATTTAAAGCGATTTGGCGGATGCAATAACTCATGAGATGTTTATTCAATACTTGATTGATATAATATGGAAAAAAAATACCTGTGGTCTTTCCTCCCCGTAAGCACATATTCAGCCCCGTGCCGAACAAAACACTGGCTTTTCGTTTTTGTGTTGTTTATTCGATCAGTAAGCTCGTGCCGCCTCGTGGCCGGCCGGCCGCATCAATGAGGTTTCTGCTGGCCGTGTAAACGTCATGTGTCGACCAGTTTACTAGTATATCATTCTCGCCGGGCTTTGGAAAAATTTTTGACCCGGGGGGAAGGACATAGGAAATCTTTTAACCACTAATCCTCACCACTAAATATCGTACAAATTGTACACAGCTCTATTATAGAGCATTGCGCAATCCATTTCGGCAGCGCCGGCGGGGAGCACATGGCGACGTAGAAGAAATCGGCAAATTATTACGCTGTGTTTGCGGGATAAATGCCGGCACACGAACTTTAATTATTATCTTCAAAGAATTACGACAGTTCCTATACGAAAATGGCTGGCCCAAAATGTAAACGGAAGGCAACTTTCGCCCGCAGCTGACTAATTTTGACCGGTAGATATAGGATTCTATTCGTGCGCCGTAATGGACACACAATATTACGACATTGCGCGCTGACGTGACCGGTATACAACTGTCGTAAAATCAAACGTAATTATTTCTCTACCGTGCAGACCAGCGGCTCATTATCGGTATCCCCGGTGATAATGAGCTGACTCCCCGCTGATCTGGACTCCGCCCCAAATGTGCACACGCCGTGCGTACGAACGTGTACACGCCGTGCGTTTGTTTGTGTAACAGCGTAAATCGTTAAATTTTACGGTCCTGGTAGTGTATGTGACTGTCAGCTGATGTGGCTAGCTGAACTGCTGAAGAAGTACAGCAGTGTGGGCAGCAAATCATCCGATAATAGAAAATGTATCTTTTTTGAATTCTTGGTAATCTCAAGTTGATACCACTGCTGTTCCTCATTGTATAGGAGACTGGACTCAAATGATCTGGTGTGTGACTGCCATTTGATTTGGCTTGCTGAAATGTTGAAGAAATACAATGTACAATGCAGTGTAGGCAGCAAATCATCAGATAATATAAAATGTATCTTTTCTGAATCCTTGGTCATCTCACTTTTGTACTTTTATGTCTCCTTTCTTTAGGAGACTGGACTCTAATGACTTGGTGTGTGACTGCCAGCTGATGTGGCTAGCTGAACTACTGAAGAAGTACAGCAGTGTTAACATTGACACAAGTTGTCTTCTTTTCTGAATGCAAGGCGAACACTCTACTTACATGTAGTAATACTTACTTGGCCATTGCACCTATTCTTCTATAGGAGACTGGACTCTAATGATCTGGTGTGTGACTGTCAGCTGATGTGGCTAGCTGAGCTGCTGAAGAAGTACAGCAGTGTTGGCAGCACCCAGGCTGCCGCCACCTGCAAGTATCCAAAGGCACTGGAGGGGAGATCTGTGTCCACCATCACTCCGGAGGAGTTCCACTGTGGTAAGATAGTTAAAACAGGATGGCAAGTACATGTACCTTGATGAAGGTTAGACATACATGTACCTACATGTAGACTTAAACTGATGAAAGATGGTGAATGCTATCTGAAATGTCTGACTCCTTAGAGAATTTTTCCAGTTGCTTGGTTTATTTTGTAGTTATAGAGTTCAAGCTTTGTTCCAACACAAGAAGGAAACTCACCATAAATGATCAATAATGGTCTCTGAATCGTGATGGTGGGAGATTCCATCTTCCCGCCACTTTTGATGCACTCCTGACGTCATCACGCTTCCGACTTCCGGAGAGTCAGCGAGTGCATCATACATCAGATTCTGACGAAGGTCGATGAGATCGACCGAAAATTTATGGTTGGAACAAAGCTTGTATTTTGTAACTATGGATTCTACCAACACAGATTAGTTTTCATTCAAATTGATTTATTTTGTATTGTATTACGAAATGTTCTTCCTGGATGTCTAACCTTCAGAGGTGTATCTTTATAAATACATGCTTTGTATGTTTGCAAAGATAAGTCTTCTGGTGAATTGTACAAATTTGTTCACAAAGATTGACTACACACTCTGAAAGACCTGACCTATAGACAGTAAAATGAAGGTACATGTAGCTCCATACCTCCATTCTGTTGTGATTTGCTGATGGTGCTGAATAGTACTTCTGATCTTATAGTTTCTGAGCAAATACTGCAACCACTTTATGCATGGCCTTCATTACTCTGTACATGGTCTTCATGCAAAGGCAGAAGTTCTTGCAAATGGCTAGCCACTGCTTTCCTTTGTGGTGCTTCCATCGACACAGAATTCTCAAGAAGTTCACCTGCATACGCCACTGTTTCATGTTTTGGATGTTGGAATTTTCTTTTACATTGTAGTAGTATTGTCTCACCTTGCTTACGTTTCAGTGTCTATCAGACACCTTCCTCAGAGCTTCTGACTAGCATTCTGCTATAGCAGCGAGAAACAGAACTCCAGTCAAAAGCTCTGAAGAAGGTGTCTGATAGACACTGAAACGTAAGCAAGGTGAGACAATACTGGTTATGTATAAGAAAACCCCTATATCCTATACTCTACCAACCTGATGAAACTATTTTCAGATGTTTCACATCTTTCTTTTGGGCAAATTTCTCGTCCTGAAAAGTCCTTCTGTCCACAATTCCCTGCCATTCAGAAAAGACAAAAGCAACCACTCAACACTCATACTGACCCGATGACCTCAAACATAGCTCCCAAGGGCTCTCCTTTTGAGATTCCTGTTTTAGCAATAAAAGAACAGCTAAATAATTACCCATAACGAGATGATGTAACGACTACCGTGGTGAAAGGTAGAAGAGGTTTGTACCAGTCCCCTTTTAAGGCCACACCAATTTAATTTGTTGTTTCTCGGATTTTGTCAGAAAAAAATCATGAGTGACAGCTAGAGCGAAAAAGAAAAAAAACAGGCCAAGGCACCCCATAATAGCCGGAAAAGTTACAATATGAGCCATGAAGTAAACATACCAGGCTGGTTTATAATTAAAACAATTATAGATTTTGAACTTTTAATGAAACAAAAGTGCATTGTTACATTGAAAAACTTAGAACTAGGAAGAAAAGGACTTTTTTCAACCGTTGGGGACAAAATATGTCTTTCATTGAGCATTTTGCAGTTAATTTAGAACAAAATAAATTTTTTTTTTTTGCAAATTTGAAAAAAAATGGACAGGATGATCCGAGAAACAACAAATTACATTGGTGTGGCCTAACAGTCAAATAATGAAGGTCGCCATTCCCTGACCTTTATGTTGATTGTTTATCCAAGCAAAGAAAACTGAAAATAAACAGAAACCCTTCCCACCACCCGACACCATTATTTATGTCACAAGTGGTGTCATTGATACATTTACATAAATATAAATATAACCTCTTGAAGTAAATCTAAACATAACCTCAGTCTTTAGTTTGTTAACAGTATTCGAATTTTCGCAAGCGGTGCACAAAAAGTCATGTTAGGGCAAAATGCGTTCGAATCGTTCTATGGAACATTTGGAAGCCCGGGCCGTATGCGTTAAGAACCCCCGGGCGTTACCGCTAGTTATCACACGGGCCGGAACACCTGTACGATATCGAACGTAATCGCGGCCCATGTATGACATAAATATAAATATAAGCTCTTGAAGTAAATCTAAACATAACCTCTTTAGTTTGCTAACAGAATACCTGCCCATTCTTTAACCATAATCACTGTCTGGTACCAGATGATACACTCGATAACTGTAAAGAATGCTTTTGTTTAAAATTACGTACAACTCTTAAGTTCTCTGTTGAGCAATGATACCGGTATGAAAAATTGTAAAGTCCAGGACAAGTGAAAGTTAAGTCCAGTCTCTTAAAGGGTGGTACATGTAATTGTCAACCAGTAACTTAATATAAAACCAACTCACTATTAAATATTTTTCTTCCTTGTTCAAATTATTGCGGCATCTACATGTATCAAGGAATCAAAACCTAGTTTGTAACGTTACTTTTCTCAGTCAACCAGGAAGTTTTTTGTGTTGTAGGTTTACTTCAAAGCTGTATACAGCTCCCCTCACCTCACTAAGGTGTATTTCTCAACTTAAAGTATCAACGGCCTCCTTGTTTCTGAATGCAGGCCTTCCTTTTCCATCAAACTACTGTTACCTGTCCTATGAACTGTCCATCAACTAGTCATGCAGGCAACTGCTTAACTGGGCGACGAACACTCTGCTGTACTGTTTAGGGGTAGCCTGGGTGCCAGACTGTTTCCAGGGCCTGCACAGGCCAGCTCCTTGGAGTGTGTTGGACCTAGAGCCAAGGGGCTGGCCTGTGCAGGCCCTGCATGGAAACAGTCTGGCATCCAGGCTAATGTAGGGGTGTCTATATGAAGCAAGTTTAAACTGTAGTTTCCAACACAAGATGTTTTGACTATACAACTTCAGTCTTTGTCTGCTCCTGTGACGTTACGTCATTCAGATCACACGTGACTCTGTTAGCAGTGGAACAAAGACGGGGGGCGCCACAGACTTTCTTGCAACCTATGATCCACTGCTCAATGAGGTGTCACAGAAGCAGTGGATTGCTCATTTCTTGACAAAGACTGGAGTTGTACAGTTGAAAATTTGGGTAAATCCAACTTCTTGCGTTGGAAATTACAGTTCAAACTTGCTTCACAATGACTTCTACCAACACAGATGAACTTTCAAGATACGGGTGTCTTTTAATTAGCCTAGTCGAGGTTGCATCTAAATTTGTGGAGTTTTCTCTCATGCCAACCCAGATGGGGACTCTCCTCTGGACGAGACGCTTCCTATACGCCACAGAACCTCAAAGATCATAGGTGAATATTCCTCATCTTTAGCCTGGATGCCAGCCTTTTTATCTTTAGTATGCTCTGTTTGTTGCTTCCTTGCCAAAAAGACTGGACCTGCTCATGTCTGGGAATTATGTTGTGTATAAAAAAGTTCATTCCATTGTCGTATGCTGGTTAGATGACGCTACACTACCACTCAAGTTTGGTATGCCTGTTCAAATTCTGAACAAAGATTCAAATGAGGGATAGAGTACAATATATGTGTGGGCCCAGTCTTTTTGGCAGTGAAGCAACAAAGAGAGTGTACAAAAGCTAAAAAAGCTGGCATCCAGGCTACACCACTCTTTCAGCAGTGCAAAGATGCTTGACTTCGCCATTTTGACATGATCTTGTTGAGTTTTCTGAGAGTTACTTCAGAATGTCCGCACTCACTTGGATTGGTCTAATCTTAAGATCGGTTGGTTGGGTTTCTTTGCACTGCTGAAAGTGGACCAGAACTTAGCGAAAGTCAATCACATCCCACCCTTCTGTGGTCCACCCCCACCCCCCAATATCGCCATGCAAGTAACCCCAAGTCAAGGAGATACAAACTTTACAAGATAACTCTTGGTAGCGTTAAAACATGTATGGTAACAGTGGATCTATGAATGAATTCACATCAACCCAGTTTATCCTTAAATCCCAAACCTCAACCTTAATCAGTTTGTTTGATCCCCTATAAGTGCAACTGTAATACTTTCCAAGATACATTCTTATAATACCATAAACTTTAAAAGTGCATCATGCCCTGATCTTAACACATGAACACCCAGCCCCCACCATCAAACCCCATCATCTTACATAATGTGCAACAATGAATGCTTAGCTGATGTCAGAACTCAGAAGACAATGCATGTTGCCTCTATGAGATTCACATGCATATATAATGTTACTGTAGTTATTGTTTTGAGATAATGTGAGACCCATTTTCCTGTACTTACATATTTCTTTTGTGCATTAGGGATAATCTTGTTGTACATATGTATGTTTAAAGCAAAGCATCCAGTGCAGTTTTTAGGACTTGGAAACCAGATTTTTCAAAGTCAATATTCTAGTTATTTATCTACATACTGAGTTGAAACAACACTATCCCAGTGTATATTGATTGACCCTCATGGAGCAAGAAGATCGAAAATTCTGACAGAAAATGGTTACTGGAAGGGCCCTTGGCTGATTTTTAGGGTACCTCCCATAAAATAGAAGGACTCATTTTGGGACCTGTTTCTGCAGTTTTAAATGGCCAAAGTATGAAATACTGATTGAAATGTGCTAATGTGAAGCAGTATCATAAAGATTACCTTATTCTGATATTCACAATATTTCCAGTTTTGCTGCTTTGAAATTGCATTGGATGCCTTTAGTCCCGTTGACCATTGCAGGATTTTTCATGCTTAACAATGACGTTGTCCATTCTAGTGAAACCTCACTTCACTGCGGAGCCTTCTGATGTTGATGTTACCCATGGCAACACGGTGTACTTCAGCTGTCACGCGGAGGGAGACCCCAAACCTGAGATCGTCTGGCTCCACAACAGGTGAGATGCCCAAACGAAAAAGACCGATCTTGAAAGTTCATCTGTGTTGGTAGAAGTCATTATGCAGCAAATTTAAACTGTAATTTCCAACACAAGAAATTGGACTCACCCAAATTTTCCATTGTACAACTCCAGTCTTTGTCAAGGAATGAGCAATCCACCGCTTCTGTGACGTCACGCAGATAACACACGTGACAACCTGAGAGGTGGATCATAGGTTGCAGAAAGTCTGTGGCGCCCCCCGTCTCTGTTGAGGGATGGTTGTAATGCCCTGGTGTAGATGGCCTCTTTAATCCCTCGTGCAAAGAAATCCGGTGCAAAGAAAAAGACCTACATTGTATATGTAGAACAAAAAGGAGCATAAAGTTTTGATGAGCCATTGTTACAGTAAATTATTGCAAGGAGGTGAATGCTCATGGGATTTTGGTTGAGTCTTGTGCTAGTACTACGTAGTTTAAAAACCTCAGACCACACCAGTTTAATTTCTTGGTTCTCGAATTTTTTAAAGCTAACACTAGACTAATGAATATCAACAAGACAACAGAGTCTGATGGGAAAGTCTTCACACGCAGTTTCAAGGAGTGAACAGAGCGAGATGCAAGTTTTCAACCCAACCTTCTGTCGTTCTGTCCCCCTGCTAAAGTCTTACATAAAGATATCAGTGAACTAACAAATTAAATTGCTGTTATCTTACTTTCCCACTCTGTACTTTCTACTCGTAGCAATGAGGTCCAGATTGACGATGAGCTATATGTGTCAGTGGGAAAAATAATCTAAGGAACCACCAAAAAGTGGTCGCATTGTCCAGGACTGGTGGTTCTTACAAATGTATGTAGAGGTGGTGATGTGTACAGTATTTCAACTGTAAATTATGGTATGGTTTACTCTATTAGGGAATGCTCAAGTTATTTCAGACTTACCCAAAATGATAGTTTTTGTACTCTGTGCTTCCCTTTTGCAGTAATGAGGTCCAGATCGACGATGAGCGGCACAACATGTTGGATGACGGAACTCTGATGATCCAGGACACTCGGCCGGAGGACCAGGGCATGTACGAGTGTATGGCCAGGAACATCGCCGGCGAAGTCAAGACCAAACCTGCAGAACTCAGATACTTCAATAGCCCAGGTATGTAACGGTTCATGTACATGTATGTGGCATCAATTTATACACCTTTTACATGAGTGTATGGCCAGAGATACCAGGCCGGAGGACCAGGGCATGTACGAGTGTATGGCCAGGAACATTGCCGGCGAAGTCAAGACCAAACCTGCAGAACTCAGATACTTCAATAGCCCAGGTATGTACATTGTAAAGGATGTGTGGTCCTGATGCTGTACATGCTATGCTTCTTTCATTGTCTTTGCATGTACAAGTCAATAATTTTCAGCAGTGCAGCTTAAATTAGTGAATTAAATGCACAGAATTATAACCTCATTATGAGAGAATATGACTCATGTCAGGTGGGCAGAAGTTTCCCACAGGTCAAGGTTGTGTTTCAGTTCCATGTCTTGTTCAACTCCAGAACATTTTAATACAGCTCAAATCATTCTTTAAGAATTATTACCATACCCTTTGCTTCTCCTTGTCACCTCTCAAGTTCAGTGTGTAGTGTAATTAGAAGTACAGAAACTCCCATATCACTTCAGTGCAGAGCCTTCTGACATTAAAGTACTGTATACATAATAGAATCTAATGTATAAGTCTGTGTCTTCTAGTATATCCCAATCATTCTTCTCTACTTTCAGCGAGCCCCACGTTCACGGTGAGTCCCCAGGACACCGAGGTGCTGGCTGGACAGAGCGTCACGCTGGAGTGTAGCGCCTCGGGGTACCCACTGCCAGAAATCACGGTAACACACAACACTTACTATGGTTTCTCTACTTTATTGTCTTCGTTAGAAGGACTATGAAATTGTCTCGCCGGAGTGTGGGGAACTGCGGATTTTGCGATATAACTCTGGAAGGCATGATTCGACGTCCATGATTTTTGGCAGGCAGATTACCGCTGTTGAGGCCGAAGTCAAGTACAAGTTTTGGCTTCGTGGGGGGTCCGTGCGTCACGTTAGTGCACCTTTTGTGTTTGTGGCTTGTTAGCAAGATAACTCAAGTATTTGTAAAATGTTGATTATAATTCTTGGTGTGGTGCTTACTATTGTCGGGACCAAGGTTAAGTTCGTTACTGAGCTTCGTGGGGGGTTTCGTTGTGACTACAGGGGGCATTTTGTTAATTTTTCTTGTGAGCAGGATAACTTTTGTATGTGTGGATGGAAGTTAATGAAATTTGATAGGCATATTACTGTCGTGGTCTCCAAGATTGAGTTCAAAGATGAGAGTCGTGGAGGTCGTTATGTCCCCGTAATAGGACCTTTTGTGTTTAGAAATCTCCCACCTACATCTGCTTGGAGACAGCCGACAGCTGGATATAGCGGGGAACCCATAATGGGATGGGATCAAATGACGTTACATTGAGGGATTGTACTATAACTTCAGCAGGGGGAGGATAGGTTGGACATATGTCAGGTTATTTTCTACGGCCACACCAAGTAATTGCTATGGATGACGTCCACTGGAGACCTTAAATCTAATTACCTTAAATTTAAGGCAAGCGCGCAATAAAAACACGAAGGGCCGAAAAACGAGATGCCTAGATTTGGAATATACTAACTGTAGAAGTACAAATGTTAGGACACAAAGAACACAAGAAACAAGTCTTCTATTTGTCATAAAGACAAATTAACAAAACAGCAGTAGTCACCCTGTTCTGATTCTTTCCTTTATAACATCTTCTCTTATTATATTTTGCGGCGCTGTCGTGACACTTTCAACACAGTAAGAATTTCTTGAACGTTTTTTTTCCAGTAACAGTCCAAACTCAAATAACTAGGGGGGGGGGGCGTAACACGGGTGACGACGCATCTGTATAATCTGCGGCAAACCGTTTCAGGGTGTTCTGTACCATAAAAATAGTACAGAGATTCTTTTGTTCTTTAGACCAAATTGATTATTAAAAAGATTGAAGAATACGCATGTTAATTTCTCTAGAACGATGTACCTCTGACGAAGACATGAGATCTCCGACCTCTAGTTTTTGTACTTTGATAATGGTTTATCATGTGTTACACAATCTCACGGTCAAAACTTTTGTTCCAACACAAGGGATTGTTCTCACCTAGAGCTTTCGACCAGTCACTCTGGTCTTCTTCAATAGACTGACCCAGTGAGACTACATTTGTATACCTTGTTAACTACCAACACGTTCATGATAGTCTCAGAGGCTGATTGGGTTGTGTGGTGTTACGGCAGAGCATTCAGCTCAGAACCAGAGGTCCCGGGTTCGAATCCCACCAGGTCACCAACCTTGTGCCCTTGGGAAAGGCACTTTACACGGCTTTCCTCACTTTGCTCAGGTGAAAGAGAGTTTGCCAGAATGATCATGGGCATAAAAAAAAAGCCAAATCAAATATAGGCAATAAAAAAGGTTGAATGGTGCACATGCATGTCTTTTGTATTAACTGTAGTGATTGGGTTTCCACCAGTGGTCCAGGCACGACAGACCGGGCCCCCTCCCCGGCGCTGCCGACCGATCCACGCTTCACCGTGATGCGGTCCGGAGCGCTACACATCACGAACGTGCGGCAGGAAGACCACGGGCTGTACCGCTGCGAAGCCGCCAACGATCAGGACACCATCGTGGCCACCGCCCAGCTCATCGTACAAGGTTTGTTTGTTTGTTACTTTCGTCAGAAAGTTATGTTGTTTGTATGTGTGAATGTATGCAAGTGTGTATGGATGTGGTTTAGCACGACAAGTCGAGAAGTTATGGCTGGATTGTCATGCGTAGGTCTTGATGAGGCCTCTAAACGGTTAGAATTTGGGCTCCCAGGCGGCTTGTTATGGTACTGCAGCAGAACTTCAGTTTTGCAGTTGTAGATAGCCCTTTTTCCCAGGAAGAAGCAACATAACTTTGGGCCAGCATGTGTGAATCTGTTTTTGAGTTTGAGCATTAGGGACACTTTTCACATCCATCAGTGTATGTAGGCTTCTCTAGCTACCTGAGTATTACAAAAATAGTGAATTTGAACCCTCACAGTATTACATGCATGAACAACTCCTCCACCCCCAGCAAATGGACTGTGAAAGTCATTATTTTTTTATCCAGATGTATACTACATTTAGGCCTGCTTTACATTGTTGTAAGCTTTTTAGCACAAAGTTTACACTTCTCTTCTCAGCAAAGCACACCCCACAAGGCTGTTCCTCTTCAACTTAGTAATTATACTCTTGGTTTATTTCTTGTGATGGAAATTTCATCCTTGGGGCCAAACCCTCACAGCAGTTCACTCCTCCACCCCCAGCAAATGGACTGTAGAAGTCATTGTTTTTTATGTACTATGGTCTGCTTTTTTATACTAGGTCTGCTTTACATTGTCATAAGTTTTTTAGCAAAAATGTTTATACTTCACTTTTCAGTGTGGCGGCTGTTTCCCTTCTCTGCAGTAATCATACTCTTGGTTTATTTCTTGTCATGGAAATTTCATCCTTCAGGCTTGATTGTTTAGGCATTATGGCAACCTTTTCACATTCGTCAGTGCAATGTAGGGTTCTCCAGCTACCCCAGTCTACACGTAATCAATTACATGTACATGCCTGAACAACTCCTCCACCCCTAGCAAATGGACTGTGAAAGTCATTATTTTTATATCGAGACTAGGTCTGCTAATAAACTGTTGTAATGTTTTTAGCAACAGTGTTTGTACTTCGCTTTTCAGCATGGTGGCTGTTTCTCTTCTCAGTACCGGTAGTACATGATTGTAATTATACTCTTGGTTTATTTGTCATGATGGATATTTCATCCTTTGGGCCAAACCTTCACAGCAGGAGTCCCAAGTGGCCGTCTGGTGTGCTGATCAGAAGTTGGGAGTTCTTGTGGGAAATGTAGCCCTTCAGGGTGAAGTGTCACCGTTTTCGCAGACAGCGTTCTGGTTTTTGACATAGCTGCTTGCATGGTTTTGCCATCAGTGTTCTGTATCCGTAAATAATTTCATCAGGTTGGTAAATGAATGAATAGCAAAGTTCTTTGATCACAACCATTTATTTTTTTACGAGCCGACGTTTCGACGACCGTCTGTCATCTTCATCAGGACAATTCTGACTGGTTTACTGTGCACTGACGCTAGATGTTACTTGGTGCATAGTGCACTAAAGGTGCTACATAGTTAACATGCACGTAAGCTAGTTTTTACTGTTAACAATGCATTTCCGAACGTAGTGCAATTGTGACATGCATACTAGGCATTGTTACATCATAGGAACTGTGTATCATTAGTTAGGTCTGGTTTTCCGTGTTGTTGCTTGCATTCCTGGTTTTGCCATCAGTGCATGAGTTCTTGGAATGGTTCCTTTGGGGGGTAGGACGCAAGGAGAGTGAGAAATGTTCCGAAGGTCAAGGGCACAACCTTCAGGGTTCATTAAACCGCTTTCAGGACTGATTTGTGCTAAGTACCTGTCACATAAAAAAAGTACCAGTAGCAACAGTTTCCAGATTACTGAATGAAAGACCTTTATGTTACCAAAAAGTGCTAAATGTTCATTGAAGTCCTTTATTGTTATACGTTTATACTCTTACATCTTACACATAGATCATGAATAAACAGGAAAAAATTGCAGTAATATCTTATATACATACATGTACTAATGTGGTCTACTATTTACAGGTTCATAAAATTACAGAAACATAAAATTAATGGATGCAGTGATGTCATCCATACAATCATATAATCAAGTCGGTGTGTCTTTACAAAGTAATTTTAGCAGCGTTTTTATTTATTTATTTTTTTCTGGCAAGTGTGAACGACCTCACCTTGCACCAAACATCTGTCCTGATCTTGACCTCGCGTCTTCACAATTATCTCGCATCTCTCAGGTGTTAGCAATCAGAGAGGTGTGTTTCCAATCAGGTTGTATTTTGGCAGGCACAGCAGATCAAAGGTGAAAGTTCAGGTTTACTAACAGGTCTGCCATGAGATAAGATACAGCCTCTATCCTAACTTCTTCCTGGCTTTCTTAATCAAAAGATAGCTGATAGACATCAGAAATACATTACATTGCACCTGCACAGCTCCAATTTTACCTGACAGTGTACGTACATGTAAATGTACCTGCATACACTGGTCTGATTGTATTTCGAGCCCTGCAAGTGCCAGCCAGCATAAAAGGAGTCAGTCCTCTTCTAAGACATACCAGTTTTGTGAAGTCACTCATTGTCTTAACAGAACTACATGGCTGGTGATGATTGGAACCAAAGAGAAAGTTAGAGCGGTTAGTTAGTAGTCTAAACACTGTGTGGAATGCCCAGCCAATTATCTCATTGACTGTAAGTGTTTGTTATGGTTGGAGCAGGGTCGAATGTTAGAACCTAACATTTTACATCGTTAGGAGGCTTTTGATAAATCCGATGCTTCCCAGAAGGATGATCCTTTGTAGCCTCCGTATCAGGCTTATAGAACTGGGGATTTGGTGGTCTTAGGCTGTTTTCTGATTAGCCCAGTTCTAAAAACGGGGGTAATTCAACCAGGCCGCCTATGTTGTCTATATGCAATCAGAAAGTAGCACATAAAAGATCCCAAAGACCCTGAAGATCCCCAGTTTTTGGCATGCTATAGAGGATAGATCCTTTGTTGGTACTGCTGATAAGAAGTCGTTAAAAGGGATGCGTATCTAGGACAGTAGCTGAGGGTACGACTGTGTGTCAGCTCTAATTTCTCTGTAATTTCTCAGTCTGGCCTTTGTAGTGTGCATGCATAGTCCAGTGATTAGTGATCCTGTAGAACTCTGGACCAAGCAGGCCTCGAAATCAACTTTTCTTCCTATTGTCCTAGCACTGTCCCAAAAATAGGTCTCAATTGTCCGAAAGTGAAGATGAACTGCCCTAATCTTGGGAAGTATTGTATGGCTTCCACGTGAACTTGAAGTCAACTTTATTTTGCTTATGTTCACTCCCATTCGCACGATAATTACAGAGTAGACAGAAATTCGGGGGATTTTTCCGGATCCAAAAGTCCAGGGGCACATGCACTTGCCTGAACAGTACTTTTACTTGCCCTGCGCAAGTGCGCAATGGGACTTGTCCAACCCAACAGCCAACTCTGTAAGTGGGAATCTTCAGTTGTCCTTGGCCCATGAAGGTGCAAGTTTGTTCCAGGTTTTCCCAAGTCTTCAGCTGAAACAAAACGTGATTTTCTAATACCTGGACTCCTGAAAGGAAATTTGAATCAGGAATACTTCCTGTGAATCTCACGCATAGACAGTGGGACGCCTTAACTTTGGCACGGTTGACTCGGACAAGCAACAAAATTCACCACATGTGGACATCAGAAGAATACCTTAACTACACTCATGTTAATCAAAATTAAAACTTTGTTGTATTTTAAATTTACCTTTTTTAGAAGGTGCGCAAACGAGAAAACTCACAGGAAAGATCAGAGCATGAAAGTTTATCCGTGTTCATTATGACAAACAGGGCTAAACGTTCAGACCAACACTGAGTAAATTGGGACTTAACCAAATTCTCAGCTGACTCCGTCCGCCTTGTTCATGATCAGCCTTGTTAAGGATCTGCGAACAGTTACCCTTTAAACAATTAGCTAGACAAACCAGAAACAGGTGGATGTTGATACATCAATGAAGTTTAGACATCCAGGTAATGAGATACACACTCAAACTGTTGTAACTCAAGCAATATTGGATAGATTTTGAAAACTGCCAGACATTTCAAGTAACATTCACTACTTTTCATCAGTGACTATCAAAAAGTAGTGGATGCTACCTGAAAAGACAGTTTTCAAAATCTATCCAGTGGCTTGAGTAACTGTTTTATTGGGTAGGGGATATATACAAAATGTAGAATGCTAAAATCTACAAGAGACATGTACAGTAATTACCAGTACACAAGGTATCTGCAAGGAGGTTATACATTGTAGTATAACCTTGGTCCATTGATAAAAGTTAGACATTTAGGTAATAAGATATGCCAAAAAACAGTTACTCAAGCAACTGGATATGATTTTGGAAGCGGTCAGACATTTCAGCTAGTATCCACTCTAGCTTTCTTCATTGACTGAGAGACCAGAGGAGAAATGCAGGTTTATAAGCACAAACTATTGATTGATATGGAAATAAGTGAAGACAATTTTTTGCAAGTCCAAAAGAAACAAAAGTTAACCTTGGTCTCTATAACTACATATACATGTATGTAGTACAGAGTACGGGTTAACAGACAAGAAGTCTGTTCCTAGCGACTTGGCGTGAAACTGCAGAAGACTCATGTCCGTGCGAATGTTTCTTTTTTCCAAGAATAGAGGTTCCACTTGGCCCTGCTCCAGCACAGAGGTGCAATGGCAAGCCTCTACTCAAACAACTGGATATTATTTTGGAAACCGTCAGAAAAGCAGGTTTATACATGTAAGTACAATTAGTACTATTGATTGATATGCAAATAAGTATAACTTTTGTTTCCTTTTGGACTTTCAGAAAAATTGTCTTTATTATTTGCACATCAATCAATAGTTCGTACTTATAAACCTGCTTTTCTGACAACTCCCAGTGTTACTGACAAAAGCTAGTGGATGCTAGCTGAAACGTCTGACAGTTTCCCAAATCATATCCAGTTGCTTGAGTGACTGTTTTTTGGCGTATCTCATTACCTGGATGTCTAACCTT